TCCCCACCCCCCACCTCTCGACTTTTTTTCCATATACTCATACGGCAAAAAGTCTATTAACTGGCAGTTGACTTCTCACTTCAAACTACCATCACCCCACTATATGTCATATTCGACCCATTTCACAATACTCATCTAGCCTTTTCTCTGCCTAGGTGTCTGTCTGCCTGTCTGTTACATCTGTGAATCGCTCTTCTTTCCCCCTTGTCGAATTTTTCTCACTTTAATGTTCCTCCCTTCTGTGAAGCCTGAAGTCAACTAAAGGGCTAATGATAACTATCAAAATGCCTGCCATTTGAAATAAATAAATAAATACTATAGTAGAAAACAATAAATTCACTAAAATGTTCATAAAGATAATAATGAGTTCATGAAAATTATTTTAAAAGTGCCCATTGAATAATATCTCCAAGAGTGGAGTAACCACTTACTTTGAAGGCAATCAGCATTTAGCAATTCACGACACTTTTCATGGCATTTGACACCACATTCTGTGCAGCGTAGACCCTGTCGAGCCAAGCCCCATAGCATTCCTTCACATTCATAGCAGTACGTTGGACTGGTTGCGCTCCACACTTGGAAGTTGTGCGGTGTATCACTGGAGATTGGATACAACAGAGCCTGAAGGGTCTTCATGTATACGTGTTGTTTCTTAATTCATAATAACAAGAGACGTTACTATTAATCTTCGCAACTTTCAAAACCCTAATGTACACTATCCAAATGGCTTATTTGTTGTTGACACTAGAATTTAAAGAAATTGTATGAGATAATCAATGAAAGTCTATGAAGAAAGAACCTTTGATGGAAAAGCAATTCCAAACTTGGAATGGGCAGAGGGCTCGTATTTGATCAATTCCTTATACTATTATTAACAGGAAGTTCAATTAAGCAAGAAATCACAAAATAATTACAAAATACCTCTTGAACACACAAGTCTTAACTTGAATAAAGCGAAAACTGGTCACCAACACACTCAATGTTCTATTTGATTGAAGGCACGCATAGGATCCTATTATTAAAACAATACTGAAAAATGTAACCTAGAATAGTGTATTCTTGGTAATATGATCACGTCAGGTAGAAAGCGGTAATAATCTCATTATAATTTATACATGGATCTAGTTTAACTCAAGTCTAACTCAAAATGCATTTAAAATGGAAGTAAACGGGGTAAAATTGAATAATAGTTAAATGTAATTTCTGAAAGCAGTAAAACATCCCGTAGACCAATTTCTAATTACTTACTGTATTCATACATACTTGATATGGCAGAATCTTTATGAGACATTTGCATGAAAATACTTCACCATTGATGGAATCCATCTTATATTTAAGTAATGACTATAACCATTAAAGGATTTAAATCAAAAAGTGTCTCCAGTAAGTCATTTTACCACAATTCAAACATAGATCACTTCCTACAAAAAACAGTGAAAATTTTTTCAATTGATAAAGTATACAGGCATGGGTCATCAGGATTATCAGTGTTTTGAGTCAGGAAGAAATCCATAAACTGGCTTTTACTGCTCTTATTTCAAATCATTAATTCTGTTAATCGTTCAGCAAAAAGTCATCTATGAACAATTTGACAATGCTGTATTGTACCTTGGCCTTATTGGAACTGATTCTTTGACTTCTATTTGAAAGCAGAGTTTCATTCAATAACAAAATCGAATTCTTTTAGCAACAAAAACTGTGATGTTGCACACCAAAGAAAGCAGAATTCTCGACATTAATCACCGTCTCTATGCATTCAACAAAGCGCTCAACCAATTACAGTTGTTAACTTCAATCGGCAACAGAAATGTTAAAATGAGAATTTCACATAGCTATCCTAAGATAACATCCTTAAGTGTTGTCAATGGCTTAAATGTACGCCTAATGATTTCAGCTTTATTTAAAAATATTTCAAATTAATGATTGCCACCTCAATTGCCGGACATTATGCAATTGATGCGAAATCGAAATGAAAAAAATTCAATCTTCATTGAATCATTTCAATGCATATTGGCGAAAATTTATTAACAAGCTTGCCTAAGTTTGCTCGACTTGGTAAATTTAATAGTACGTTGATTTATGCAGGAATTTTGAAAATAGAAAGCCACTAACCAATTCTTCATCATTAATCGATTGACGCGTGATAAGATTAGCACTTGCTGTACCCATATTTCTCTTCTGCACTGCCATGGTCTAGAAAATACAAAAATATTAATTTTATCATGTAGACGTAAGTGACAAAATTATCAGGCATAAGAATTAAAATAATTCAAGGAATTACAAATAAAAAACATGAATATAATACTAATTATGAATAATTAAATAGATCTTCATAGAGACATTACGCTATTCAAATAAAATGAGACAAGTGTGTTTAACTCACTTGAATAACCTGAAAAGAAAAACAAAATAGTCCTGATTAATCAAATCCGCTTTAGATCATACTTTCAAAGGAATTCTCGTAAAATATATAAAATTTCAAAGTTAAAATTTAAATATTTTGGAAATTGACATGAGAATTGGCTTAATAAATTTGATTTAGCAAATTTTGACTCCATTTAATTTGAAGCAAATGGAAAGAGTTTCAGCATTCGTGTAAATTTGGGTGACATCGGAACAAGGTGAATTAAAACAAATTGGCAAAGCCGAAAAGCTCAAATGAATGGTCCGGAAAATAGAAAATAAATATTTTAAGCTAAAATTTTATTATTAAAATTCCCACGAAGAATTCAATTTGAGCTCAAAAAGGCAAATAATTGACTAAATGCGAACCGGTTCCCATTTTGTGAATTATACCATTATCAAAATAGTTTCATCCATAATAATGATAAACTGTTTTAACCCCCGATGGAGGGAATAGTAGCCTCTAGATCCCTCCCCAAAACCAGCGAAGGAATCTCTTTTAATAAGGTGATTAAGAATGGCGGCAGCACGATTGCTCACCAACAATTTGCGAACAAACAGAGCTAGCCATAGAAAAGAAAACGGCCGATTTAATCAACAATTGCGCGTTGTCAGCAAGTCGGGAAATGCTAGCTTTTCTATAAGTTTTTATTCCTTTTTCCCTCTTAAGAAACATTGAAATGTGATATTAAATGCCTATTTTCTCTTAAATAGTAGCAGATTAAAAAAAAACATGCAAATTCTGATTGTGACGTTATTGCTTCATAAAGTTTTGTTATTAAAAAAATTGTTACAAAAATCTGAACATATGTTACTTACCAAGTCACTGACAAGCGAGAACGGTTTCTTCTTCAACTTAAAATCTGGCATGCTGTTAATATTGTAAAAGGAGAAGTGATTGTCCCCACTTCTTTTCCTGAAACAAAATGGTAGAGTTTGACAAAGATTTCACGAGGGGAAGATCCAGTGCATTTCTTCAAATTCACTACTTCTGAAATTATAAGAAATTGCTGCAAAATCGAGTACCCAAAAATTGTTCACTGTGATCTTTTCATGATTTATTCACCTTGAATTGAGTTTTCGCTATTTTTTATTAATGATTATTTTAGTACAATAATCTGTTACTATATTCTAGCCTCATTAGGATGAATTACAGTAACGAGAGGTCTAGTATCCTATCTTACAGTCTCTAAACTATTTGAATAGAGAATTGTAGCGAATTATAAATAACCTTTAACCCATTTAAATCGTGGGTATTTCTAAAAGCACTATACATAAACAAACAGCAGGTAAAGATTTTAGGGACTTACTTTGGAAGTACTCCAGACTAAAAAGAAAAAAATAGAAGCGATAAAGGAAACAAGTAAAACACAATGATAGTACTGCTGCGAAAAACATGGAAGATCTATTCAATTCATAGACTTCAAAACAAATGGTAAATGAAATTTCTTATACAGGTAATAATTGATCGATATTACCACTGTTAAATGGCAAGGGATGGCATGTTTCTTTGCATTATTTACTTTAACCGGTAAGAAACAATCATTATTTCTAACCAAATCATGATATTAATTGATTAAATACCAAAATAATCAGTAAAGCAAATAGAAAATACATGACTAATTACCTTAGTAAGTTGTCTACAAACATGATCAAATGCATCGAACCAACGCTTTCTAGCGAGTGGATGCTTGGCATCAATTGCAATACCTGGCGTTGGTTTTAAGGACTCCAAACGGGTTTGCAGAAGGGAGCTTCTGTGATTAGTATCACCATCACGTTTCTTTCGCTTCTGTTCTACTTCCTCATTGACCGGGTCCCCGCGTTTTTCACCTGGTTCGTCTTCTGGAGGAGGCACCATCCGCATTGCCTCGTTGGAGATTGAAGAATCTTGTTTGCCACGGTTCCGGGACTTTTTGTGGTTTTGTTTGTTATTGTAGTATTCACAGCTGCTACAAGATAGTTTAAGAGATGGTATGAAATGTAGAAAAACAAAAGACCCACGTTTTTTACTTACGATATTTACCTAATTACCTTCTTTATAGAGCGTTCTTAAAAAAATCTATCCCCACCTCATCAACTTTCTGGATTCAATAGCATTACTCTAAGCTATTAAGTATATTGCCGTATTTTAGTAAATTATTTCAATTACTAAAATCAGAATTCCAATTTTATGGATTTAAGTAGTCTCGTAACTACATTATTCCAAGATTACTGACCTCTCGACTAAATTCCTAGAGTACAAAGAAGCAGCTACTCTATCATTTAGCAAATAAGAAGCTCATCATCTAGCTTAACGTCATACTCAAACTTTTCTAAAATATAAGTTAATAATATTATTTCATTATTTATTTACAACTACTATATTTGAGAATGTAAAATTGTTTTAAATTCGTATTCTATTGAATCGTTGATCAAAAATGCAAAATTGCATTTTTGCTCTAATTTTAGCCTAAAATTATAAGGTTTCAAATTAATTTAAATTCTTCACATTTCGGCTTCTCCCAATTTCAATAAAAAAGGAAAAAAAGAATACGCATTTCTCATATACCTCAGATAATTGGTGCTGTCGTTTGGACTCTTCGGGTAGAGACAAGCATACACTCTGTTGCGGTTAAAATACTACTTACATGGGCAAAAGAAATATAACGGTATAGCATAATTGAGCTCACTAATTAATGAGTAATTCATAGATTACAAACGAAATTGAAACAAATTAAGCAATATTTCATTATAGTAAAGATAATGTGAGAAAATGGTTCAATGTCCAAACTCTGGGAAGCAATTTGAATAATATGCCCACAAATGTTAATGCATGCTCAGTGATTCGATTGAAGCACAAATTTCTGCTAAATTAATGATAAAGTGACAAATTTGCTATTGCTCTTGTCATAAACATGAACTTCATTAATTCCGGGCGAATAAATCAATGTGACATAATAGTCAACGAAACTTTTTCGACTGACCTAAGATAATATTTTTCCCATTGGACATTCGTGTCGACTAATTGCGACAATTTTTTTACCCAAATTAAGTTAAAGTCCCATTTCAGCCTTTCGGGGAAAAGTGTACATGAAATCGATAAAAGCAGAAAACATTTCCAAAGTAAATTGCATAAAAAGCGCAGTATTTTTACAATTGTAGCAATGGGACTTTAACGCCATTGAATCGTTTGGAAAGTAGCTCACATCCAGAATGATTTCCATTTTCTAAGTAACTAAGAGCGAATGTATATTTACGCATGAGGCAAACCATGAAGTGAGTAATATATTCCCAAAATTGTACTTAACAAATATCAAAACTAAAATCAGGATAAAGTAAAATTCAAGCTTTTCATGGGTCCGAAATGCATACTTTTTACGTTGGAGCCCAAGTTTAAGCGGAAAAACCGGAAGGACTCAATTCAAACCAACTGAAACTAATGTTGGTAATAGATATCAGCACCAACTTTCTTAGATAGCAAATGTGGAATTTTAATACTTAGTTATAGAGTTATTGAAAATGCGTATGAGGTCCGAGAAACTAATCGCGGCAGTAACTGCAAAGCGTTAACAAAATTCACTCCTCTCTCTCTTCTAATTATTCGCCTCTGATATTCATGACAGAAGACAAAAAAGAGACGTCTTGCTGCGTGTCGCTTAGCCTCATTCAAATTTCAACACCTGAAATTTTGCAAAGTAAAGAAATTTTAGTTTGCTAATTTTAGGCATAAGAGGAAACTTTAGTAGAGAACTCCTTCATTGGGATTGGATAGTAGACTATTAAAGCAGAAGACGCAAATTCGGTGTTCAATAACGCACACGCAAAGGTGTTGAAGACCGCAAAAAACTGGTTTATCTCTGCAGCCACTTAAGGCATTAGTAAAACTTAACCACTTGGGTTTGTAAGTGAAAAGATGAAGTTGAAATCTTTTGCAGAGGCAAACCAAAACTACTTAGGGAAAAATATGAGCACACATAAGGGTAGTAATTATGTGAAGAAAAAGAATTTGTTCAATTCTTTAAAAGTGAGTAACTGGAAAACAAACTCACCTTGTTTCTTCATTAGATCCTATTGGGTCTTCATCCCATTCACATTGATCTTCTTCATCCTCATTAGCTACGAAGGACCGATTATGGCGTGATCGTCGATGTTGATTGAGATGGTGGGAATAAGCATCGTTATCGTCATCGCCTTCCTCTACCTCTTCATCACCTACTTCCTCGTCAGAGTAGCCACTCTGGAAGTCATCTTCACCTTCTGAAAGATCTTGGAGTTTTTGGTGCCCTAAATCAGGCAAAAATTTGCCAATTTGAGGTAATTTTGTGATGCTTGCTACTCTCTAGTGTGAAATGGGCTTTAAATATTGAAATTTATGGACACATTTCTAAGTTACGTTAACAGCGTAAATAAAGGCAAATATCTCATGAATTTATTTTAACAAATACAAATTGAAACCCTACTAAAACCCTTATAGTGCACCTTCCGAAATTTATCACTTTCATATGCAAGTGGAAATATGATTTAAATTTTGCATTATTCAGCTTGTAAAATGGAATTTACTAAATGAGCCATATAATAAAATTTAATTATTTCGGGAAAATTGTGAAAAAATTCAAGAAAAATCGAATCTTGATTAGTATCGATTGGCCATCACGACTTTCAAGACGCATGGTTCTCGAGAGAATTACGATATATATGAGAACTAAATAACTATCCTAGTTGCTCCATCAATTCCAACTCACTTTACAAATCAATAATTTAGTGACCAAGCTACCTACTCAATTCCGATCAACTAACATTAAACCCAGCAAAATGAACTAGTTTATCCCAACAATCTGCTATTTCATTGTAAACACGCCTTTCGCCTTTAAAATTTTACACAACAGGCAATAGACAAATGGTTTAGCATACTTCTTCTAACGTGTGCCATAATTTCGTCTTCCTCTTCTTCATCCAAGGTGAACTCTCCATTCCTTTCTTCATTCTGATGCGGCAAATCATCCTTGTATTGATCACTATAATCTTCTTCATCTTCGTAGTAAGACTGGCCATTCACCATTGGATCATGAATACCTGTAACCGCTGCCATTAGCATTCCATCTCTTGCCCGAATAGCTGCCCTTTCATCTCTATTGCTGGATCTCAACCATGCTTCCTCATCATTGATTTCAGCTTCTGTCATTCTATCATTTCTACCTCTTCCTTGATGTGATTGTGGCTTGATCCATCGATCCCTGTCGTCATCGTCATCCTCCTCCTCTTCGTCTTCAAACGATCCTTCTTGGTCGTAATTTTGATTCTCCTCCGTCGAAGATAATTGACCCCAGGCCCTACGTTTGGCTCTGCTCTCATCTTCATCAACAAATTCGGAGAAGTGTTCGCTATTTCCCTTCACTTCATCTGGTGCTGGAGGAGTCAATTCAGGTAAGTTTGACTCTGGATGATATAAACCACCCTGGCTTGAGTGTTCTTTGGTTGAAAACTGCCGTTGAAGTTGTGACTGTTGGGGCTTCTCTTCAACCACAATCATTGCCTGTGCATCGGACACAACTTGTTTGGCGGCTTCCGCAACTACGTTTACCTGTTTCATCAAGCCTGAAGCAGCATTCTGTGCTTTTGAAATGAAGGATCCAAACATATTCCCAGGTTTAGGAAGAGATTGAATATTAAGAGCGGGCATAGAGCCAGTAAATGATATATGATTTTGATTCGCTTTGTTCTGTTGATGCTGATAAGATTGAGTATAGTAGTCAGGCAGATTGCTACCAATCAAACCGGCACGAATTCTTAGCCGGCGAAGTTGTTCCTCTTGAGATATTGGTGGCTCTCTCTCCACCGCCTCGACGATATTATTCAACGAGGTACTATCGAAAAGTTGGGAAACAGAAACAGAGAACTTTGAGTACTCACGGAGAGACGCACCATAGTCTCGTTCTTTGTTTGTAGCTTCTATACTTTGAGATCGAGACGGTCGCAGAAGCTTTAAGATATCTTCTTCTTCCTGGGTCGTAGAATTATGGTTAGACATAATTTTAGTTGAATTCTGAAAAGCGAAATTGACATTAACTATTTACCATGGTGAGAAAATTATCTACTTATCAAATTTAATTCTCGGTCATCATCTATCAGTTACCATTGACCTCTGGGTAATAGACCATTTTAATGATGAAAACAGCCCTATTAATGCGCCAATATGCACTGCCAAATAGTAGGATTACGATAAGTAATTTACTTTGTCGCAATGAAGTAAACTGCTTTTCGCAAAATGAGAGCGATTGCGAAAACCGATGCTATTAATCCATCGAACGCAGTGAAATGTTCTTCAAGATGGCCATAAGAGGCTGAAAATGGTCCGTTTAAATAGATCAAACGAACAAAATACTAGAATTATGTTAAGAGTGGGAAATTCATAGAAACCTTTCCTAGATACTTTTGCATGTTGATCCCAACTCATGTGGAGGCAGATAATTTTCCCTTATTCATGTTTCATGACCTCCTGCGTTATCATTTTTGCCTATCTCAATACTTTCGCCTAACCAGAATTCCCGTGACTCGACTTAACGCATTACTGGTTACTAATCTTCCGGTTGAGAAATCTGAAATGGTGGCAAGTTTATTGCATTCTTTTAATTTTTATTATTAAAACCATATTATAGTTGAAATTTTGTTGATTTCACCTCATCTTACGAGTAAAAACAAATAGATATTATTAAATCGTCTCAAAAGACTCTCGGTAAGTATGCGTTTGTGCTGATGAACTATAATGTCTCATGGGATTACTCAATATTCCGTTTAAACTAAGTAAAACCCCTTATCTTCAGAGGTTACTATTGTGTAGAAGGACGTTTAGCTTAGTTCCGCGAAAGCACATTCATTATTAATTAAAATCAAATCTATTGAATAAAAAACTCAGCGTCACATGTACGTACGCATCATGTGATCTACAGTTCAGGTCAAGGTCACGATGAAATGTCGATCACTTTTCCATTGAAGCTAAGTTATTGGAACAGGCCACATCC